TATATGCCAAAATTTTGTTTAGTATCATGTTGCATCAGCCTCCAAATGTCTTTGTTTGCGAAGGAATGTTGCACAGCGCGACAGGCCCTCCTCGGAAAGTTCTGTGCTTATTCAGTCTCTTTTCCCTCACGTTTTGGTTTCACCCTGTTTCCCTGGTTACTATATACTTCTGTTTGTCACCCCTCATGAGCTGATGTCCTCCTCTGTTTACATCCATCACATTTGCAGACAGCTAGCATGTTGTCTAGCCAAGGTATCCGTGTCTCCCCTGCTCTGCACAGCTCGGCTCTGACTGTCTCTTTGCAAAGCCTTTCCCACCCCTCTCTCTTGGATGCTCTTCGGTTTCCAGTTACACTTCTTGGTTACCCATCATGAAGAGCTGAACTGTACTAAAGCCCTCTTCTCTACTCCGTTTCCCTTCCATCTTTCACTTCTTCTGTCATCCCTCATTCCAGCTCCTCTGTTATCTGTCTCCTAGGTTCTCTTCTCAATTTTCCACTACAAGAGATGGGCTGAAGCTTCACAGATCTCCTCTTAACTTCTTGGGTTGAAGAGAGGTGGGTAGGTACCTATTACTGCCTTTTCCTCTGGAGTATTTTCAGCTCTCCACTGCTTGGAGGGAATTACACCAACACTTTGTTTTCTCCTTTTCCCATCACTCACCCTGAGCTCTCCGATGGCTCTCAGCTCCTCTCATCCCCCTTTCCTCTTGTTTCTTGGCAAAATCTATTTGGACCCTCATCAATCCATGACCCATGAGACCAAAATCTGCTCTGGCTGGATAGTTGCAGCATTGTCAGAAAGCTGCAGACCCTAGACTTAATTTTTGCTGTTTCCTTATGGATAATTTTCCTCCTTCATTCAAATTAAGCCACAACAGCAGGTGAATGGTTGCTCTGAGAGTGAGGAGATATTTAACTTGGTTCTTCTGAGAGCAGACTGCAGGGCAGAGGAGGTGTTGGTGGGTAGCTTTGCTGTATTTCAGCTCTTCAGATGCTCCACACAGCTCTGACAGAGCAGGCAACTATCATTATAAAGCAGTAAGTGAAAGCATTATATATACATCTGGGCAATCTCGTTTTTTTCTGGGGCTTGTATAAGACATACTACAGAGCCTTGGTTTTGAGAGGAGATGGACCCAGTTTTCTGTAAAATCAGACTTGTTTCAGGATTGGCAAGACGCAGCCTGCAAATTTAGGCATCTGAAATAAATCAATGATCGCTTTTGAAAATCTTGATCAAACTGCTTCACAGGGACAAGCATGAAATAGGAATCCACAGGCACCAGCACCATGGGCTGGTTGTTATTACAGAAGATCATTTAGTACAGGCAGTTCTAATTTAGGTTAAACAAAGCTACCCTGAAGTGATGTGTTTCTTATACTAGCCTGCGTGCGTCTGTGCCTTTGCACATATGCGCACAAACAGAATAGGGAATTGTTTATGGAAAATAATAGATATGGCCAGAGGATACCTTGCCATGCAAGGTAAGACATGTTTTTCTCTCATGTGGAGATACAGGGGATTCAGGTTGTGGTTTTGGTTTGTTTCTTCCCAGACAAGTAAGAGCATACTGAATGGCATGAGGAATAGATTGGAACAGGAAAGCAAATGCTCTGGGCTCCCGAAATATTAGAAGGCACTTACTGGGTTTGATACTAATCCACCATGGCTAGTTCAGGGCTGAGCAGGGTCCCTGCAGAGAGGTCTGTAACCAGAGGCTCTGGTACTCTGCTAGGGTATTGTTTTGTCTTGGCTTTGCAGGAAAAGCCAACGCCTTTGGAAACTGAGACTTTACTTTCCATGGATGACCAACATGAGTCATGACTTGCTGAACTTTTAGGGACTCTCTCTGGGAGTGTTTCTAGTGCTTCCAGTACTTATATCTACCTGATCCTACTGCAGAGGATCACTTTTGGGAACAAATCACAGCACACTGTAGTAGGAAATATTTGAAGGAGATCTATTGTCCTGACCCATGCAAACATCTGCAGAGAGGTAGCCACTTGTTGCATGCAACAATTTTTTAAAAAAAAGTTTGCATTGGCTGCATAAAACCCACATGCTCTACTACGTATCCCAGAATCCCAGAAGGATATTGCCTGGATAAGCAGCATGAGCTCTCTTTGCATCAACAGAGGCTGTTGCAAGGACTTTATGAAAAAGCAGTGAATGAGGGTGTAAATTTTGGTTGCAAAATCACAGTCAAAACAGCCTGTATCATGCCAACTATTAGGACAATGGGGCTAACTGATGGAAAGATGTGTAATGTGTGAGTAATGGCTATGTTTGATGCAGGATCAGGTACTTTGGCGTTTGGGCTTCTTGCAGGCATAGAAGCAGAAAGGGGAGGCAAGAGCTGGGGCTGTCATCTGCATACCCCTATTTTGAGGAACAACATCATGGAAAGCTCCCATTTCTCCCTGTTTTCTCTCTCTTTGCTCTTTTATTTATATTTTCTTTCCCTCATGCTCCTCATCCCATCCAGGATAACAGAATTGGCCAGAGTGGGCTCCTGTCACTTCTTGGTTGTTTACGCTGGTAACAGAGAAATCCAAATGAGCCATGCTGCACTTTACTTCTGAGGCTTATTCCTCGAGAAAGCTGTTTCTGCTCCCAGGGAAGTCAATGGAAGTCTAATTAGTCCCAGATGTTTAGTAATAACAAGTACTTCCTTTTGGTAGAGCCAAACAAAAGCAGTGTTAAAACCATTAATTAAATGGGTTTGGCTCTGTCATCAGGTTATTAACTAATTCCAGTCATGGCAGTCAAGCTAATACTGGCTCTCAGAAGGAGATATAATCTTGCCATGCTCAACACAAAAGGCACGAACTCAGTGTGTGGATAAATTAGCCCGCGTCTGGGCGCACAGCTCAGCTTGCTTTCACACCAAAGGAAAAGCTCACCAACTTCAGCATTGGGCTTCCAAATAATCCCTGAGATTGCTGCTTGTGCAAACTTTCTCCTACAAGAATAAGAGCTTAAGCCAATGGGTAGCACTGGCTTTTGTAGGTACTAGATCAGCCCCTATTGCTGCTGACTGTGCAAATACTTGCCTACATCTTCAGTAGCTCTACTTGTTCTCCATTGGTTGTGTTCTAAGATATGAAGCAGATGTCCCTGCTTCAGGACCAGAAGGTAAAGGTCTAAGGTGGAGTCTGAACACCATAGAAAAATAGGAAGACATAGCTTTTTATGTGTGGAGCATTCCAAGCTGGTGCTTTAATATATTCACAACCCCGTGCTTTTTACAAAATTCAAAGGTGTTTTTATTGTACAAAATTTCACAATGAAAACTACCAGCCAGTTTCTTACATAACTGCTTTAAAAATAGAATTATACACCTTTTTTTAGTGTGTTAATTTTGACATTCACTAGCTGGAAGAAACAGAAATGGAGCAGCAATTTGACTCTGAGTTATTTACCTGGACAGGTTTTGGTTTGACCTCTCTCTTATGTGCCTTCATGTACAATTCCTGGCATTAACAGAAAACCTGATATAGCTCCTTTCGAAGCCATTGAACCCCGTTAGTAGGTCAGGCTCCCACTGTTGGTGAGCTTCTTTTCACTTCAAAAGGGTCAATCTGCTGTCAGAGTACGGGGCATAACATATGTCACTGTCAGCTTTTAGCAACGCAACAGGTTGGCCATGTTAAACCCATCAAAGAATGAGGTTCTACATAACTTCTTGCAGCCAGTCCTCTAGACCATAATAACTTTTTAGGGAGGGACAGTGGACCTCTGATCTGAATAATGGCCCAGGACTAGCTTCCCTGTGTATTGTTTCACACTGGTATCTTTAAAACACCTTTTTGCTCTCTAGCCTCCCATGACCTTTAAAAATAGGCATATTATTTTTTTGCATTGAAATGCAACTGTATGTAGTGAATTCCCAACAGTTTTCCTTAGAAATATAAATATTTCAGTCCAATGGCAGCTGGCTGAAATTCATTCTCCAAGATTTTTCTTTTAAAAAGCGTTCACCCCAGAGATGAATTTCTTCACATTAAACCCAGTTAAATATGTATTGCACGTGAGGGGCAAATTTCTCCTCTTTGAGTTGAACTGTGGACCTGTGACCTTCTGAGCAGATCTGGGTAAAATACAACACAGCTGTTTCACACCTGAGATTTCTCTTACATTCCTCTTGGGTATTAAGTGCCAAGACTAATGAACCTCATCTACCTCTCGTGCCTTGCTCCAGTGGCTGGAGCAACATGCTACAAGGAAAGGGAGGTATCCAAAGAGGTTCCTACCACCAAGGTCTTTGATTCCCATGGATAGACATGGATTTTCTAAATGGCAGCCATGAGCACAACAGACATGAACTGTGTTTTCCTTTTTTCGCTAAATTCTCCTTTTTTTGGAACTCATGAGAGATTTACAACCAACTTCAAGGACTGAAATATTGTTTATTGGCCTGCCCTGGCATTGGCTTGTATGATTTAAGCTTAAGAAGGGTTAGGAGCTGTTATTCCTAACCAGTTAGGAAAAAGCAAACCTCATAGCTCAAAGCAAAATATCTCATGGAGGCACATAACTTTGAGAAGGGCTTTCCTACTCAGCTGATGTCATCAATGACTGTCATAAAAAGGTGATTCAGTTACAATGCTCAATTTGCTTAAAGTCTTTCTGTGACGGTGAGATCACAAAGTATCTCTGAGCTTAGTGAAAAGTCTCAAGACCTTAGAGGGCTTTTTCTTTTGGTCTGGTTTAAATGACACATCCCTCAAAACAACAGCAGGGCTTTAGAGTGGCCTCTTCTACCACTGTATAAACTTTTTAAGCAGATCTGCTTGTGAATGAAGCAAGTGCAAAACATGGCAAATTCTCCTTTCAGTTCCTGCAACCCAGAGCACTATAGTGGTGCAGTTCAGGGGCGCTTTGAAACTTGTCTTAAAATCCACAGTTAAAAATCAAAGATGAGAATTTTACCCTTCATTTCTACACACCGGCAGTGTAGCACCTGATTTCTTCGGTTTTCAAGGCATTTTGTGTTCCTATGCTTTAAACTGATGGCTAAAGTTTTGCCTGCGGAAGCAAAAAAATGAACCCACGCCAATGATGATCACGGATAAAACCAAAACAAATGTTAATATAATAAGGAAGTTGATTTTCTTTAGATCCTCTTTTTCACAGTCTTCTGGTCTAATGTTCCCGATGTGCATTTCTTCCTGGTACCCAAAGTTCTGAGTGTACTGGCACGTTAAGTGCTCCACATTGGGGATCTGGACATTTTTGTTCTGGATCATTGATGAGAGCCAGATGTTTCCACAACAGTTGAGTGGGTTCCCAGTGAGATACAAGTTTTTAAGGGAATTTTCTAATGCTAAAATATTGCTGTTCTGTAATGTACTAAACTTATTGTTCCGTAGGTCCAGAACTTCCAATGGAGAGTCACTACCCCACTTAGGCAGCCAGTTCAGCTGATTTTCAGAGAGGTTTAAATGTTTAAGGTGACTAAAACCAGGCAAGTCAATATTTAAATCTATCAGGCTATTGCCATGTAAATACAAATATTCCAGAGACTTTTCCAGCCCTGATAATGCTTTAACTTCTATCTTCAGTCCGGGGTTCATGGAGAGATCCAAAACAATCAGAGAAGTCTTGTAGAAAGTGTATGCTGGCAGGATGTTCAGCATGTTGTCGGCTAGGTACAAGTACTGAAGAGCAGGAGAATCAACAAATGATACGCAACCACTTTCCTCTCCGGCAAGTCTTTGCTTAGCTAATCCTGAGTACATGCTGCAAAGGCTGATATTATTGCTCAGTAGATTAAGTAGTCTGAGGCTAGGAAGACTTGAGAAGATATCAAATTGCAGGGTCTGAAGTCGGTTGTTTTGAATATAGAGCTCCTTCAAATTTGACAACGTGCCAGCATCTAGGAGAAGGTTCTGCAAAGCATTGTAGCTCAAGTCGAGGACAGTTAGGGAGATCAATGCACTGCCATAAATTACTGCAAATTCCTGAAGACAGTTTTTACTGAGATTAAGGGTGTGAAGCGACAGCATTGATTCAAAGAACTCATTCGGAATGGATTTGATTTCATTATAACTTAAGTCTAAATATGCAAGCTGGGATAAATAAAGAGAACTTTTGTTTCTACTTTGCTTCTGATCAAGAAGATGAAAAGAAGCATCTAGCCATTCGTTTTCCATATAGTCCATTTTATTATGAAGGGATTCAGCAGTGAGCTGGATTAAATTCTTTGATAAATTCAGAGTTATGAGCTTATTTACCTGGGGGAAGACTGGGAAGTGAAGCAGTTTGTTTTCACTCAGGTCCAAACATCTTAAGCTATATTCATCATCTGACTCTGTGGTGTGGAAGGTCTCAATGCTATTCCTGCTAAGGTCAAGTATCTCTAGCTGCCTGAGGTTGAAATCAGAGATGCAAGTAATTGAATTCATGGAGAGATTGAGTTTGGAAAGGTTCACTAGAGTCTCAAAAGCACCTTCTTCTATTTCCATGATGATATTACTCTGAAGATCTATCTCCACAAGATTGGGAGATCCCTGAAACATCTTGTGTGATATCATTATAATACTGTTGTCTGCCAAGGAAAGGTACCGCAGTGCTGGAGCTTGTTTAATGAAATACTCAGCCATCCCGTTGTACAGACTGTTGTGGGACAAGTCCAGTATTTCCACCTTGGGTAAAAGTCCAATCCCCTCTGTCCCATTCTGAGCAAGCTCATACAAGTGATTGTTGGCTAAATTTATTTCCAGCAAACTTGTCATGTGTGCAAAGACTCCAGACGTGATGAAGTTTATCTGGTTAGAGCTTAAATCCAGGCACTGGAGGGAAGTGTAAAATGATAACGGCATTTCAGGGATGCTTTGAATCAGATTTCCAGACAGATCTATTTTGTTTACCTTTGGATGGAACTCACGAGGGATTTGGTGGAGGTCTTTGTTGTGGCAAAATGCCTGCAAGTTTGTCTGCCAGAAAAAGAGAGAAAAGGGGTTGTCACATGACAAATGAAAAACATCTTTGCGTGAAACATAAAGGAAATAACATTCAGCATCCAGGCAGATCCTTTTTCTGAAAGACTGATCGCACTATTTTCTCTGAGCATTCAGACAGCAAGAACAACAATCCTAACACTTCTTTGCAGCTAACAGCACTCATTTAATTTTAAAGACATTTCTGACTTACAAGAGTAGAGAGTTTTATCTGCATGAGATACCTACTAAATGTTCTTTTTGTACCTTTCTCCTGGGCTCATTTTAATAGTCCCAAGTGAAGGAGTTTTGCCCTCTTTCCATTGCAATCAAGCACCGTTTCCTCACTTTTGTTCTGATGCTTAATTTTCTCAGCTTCATCGCTGTATTAGATTTTGCAAACTCTACTTGCAGTAGTAAGTAGTACTTAGAAGAGCTTCACTCTGTTGGCAGCATAGGTCCCAAAGAAGGAGGTGGAGAAACATATAAAGATCCTATAGCACAAACCCCATGTCTCTCCTTCTTAGTCACACCCTCAGATATTTGATCATGTCTTCCTTTAGCCATGGCTTAGTTAAGCAATGCATCTTTAACCAAATGGGTCATTCAACAACTGAAACATTTCTGATACAAATCTCCAAACTCTTCCTGCTTTTACCATCCATGTTTATCCTTTTCCTAAGGCAACAGTTCCCTTGTATGAGGAGCACTCCACAAGACACCCGTGATACAAGATGGAAAAGACAAATTATGTAAAGTCAGCTTTTGAGAGGAAAAAAGCTGTGATGTGCAGTGAGGGTCATGCCTTTTCAGTCCAATTCTCAGCAAAAGGGTAGAGAAAAAAACCAAGTTTCAAAGTCAAATTCATCTTCTAGATGCATGTCTGTTTAATTACAGCTAGGACTGAATCTGCGTCCAGGGCAAAATTTGGAGTGTGTGTACATAAGGAATGTTGGAAACATGAACATGATCATCTTTGCATAAATGTCAAGCTGTATTTTGTTATTAAGGAGAACACATAGCAGCGGGAGGAAGTGGAATGTGAAAGGCTTAGGCAGCATTTAATTTACTGGAGGAAAACTCTTGTTATGAATGTATTTGGGTGACTGGGTCATGTACTGTTTGTAGAAAGATCAGAAAGAAAAGAAAGAAAAAAAATCTGTTGAATCTTAACTTCTGTGGAGAAGCAGAATCCAGATTCCATGACGCAAAGCTTTTCAGACATTAAAGAAACATTAAAAGTAAAAAATATTAAAAACCATATGTTTCATGTGACCTCTTAGGTGAATGTAGTGGCAGGTCTGTTTAGGAGAAGTCGGGCAATAGTCAGCATTTTGTGAATCTCTTTTGCATCATGTGAGTTTTGGAGACTGCACAAATATGTGCCAGAGAAGGGTCAGTGCTCATCCAAAATCTAGATATACACAGGCTGCTTCTCAGTCCTTCCCATGATACATCTTTCCCAAAGATCCCAAGTAAATGACCTATTAAAGCCTGAATCCCCTCCTTTTTTCCCTCCAAATCACTCACATCTCCCCTAGCTAAACAAATTAGAAAAAAAGAGAAGAGAATTTTCTGGCTTCTCCCTGAAATTATTTCTTTCCTGCAAAGAATTGCTTATTTTGAGCTAAAATGTGCACAGAGCTGGGCTTAGCTCTGAGGCTCAGGAATGGAGCAGGAATTCTCTTCTTCATTTTGTGGAAGAGGGAGAAGCTAGAAGGATGCAAAAATCCAGAGTGAAAAAGCAGCAGCCACTTTGCAGCCTGAGGCAAATGTCAGGTTTCTTCCCACACTTTGAGCCAGATCTCAACAAGTGTTGAGCACCCTCCGCTCCCTCTGGGCACCCAGCACAGTAGCAAAGTCCCGATCCAACTCACGTCGGCATCAGTCGGCTGGTTTTCACTGAAGTCAATGGGGGAGAGGTTAGTCCCAGTTCACCATGTATCTTGCAGGATTGGGCCTTTAATCTGCATCCATTGAACCCTCCCAGTGATAAAAGGGACTAATAAAATCTATGCCTCCCACTCTCTGACATTTGTTCCTATAATATTTCCCCTCCCATTTTTTTTAACTTTCAGTCTTTTTCACCGACTATTTTGATCCTTGCTGAATTTCTTATCTAGTCTGTTCTGCACCATCTTTTCTTCCCCAAGGCTCAAACTGCATGAATTTTATTCTCATCGGCACTAGGAAGAAAAGATGAAACATGTCTCGGTGGGATGGAGCAAACAGCATCTGTTTGCATGTGTATCTCCCCTCCTCCCACCCCGTAGCCCAATTGGTTGGCAGCCTGAGGCTGGAAAAGAGGTTTTTGGCAGTCTCACGTTCTGACTTCAACACCTCTGCCGATGCTGCCACTGATTTGTTTGAAGTCCATTGGCAAGAAGTATTGCAGGGTGGGGAGCACTTGGTCCTTTGGTGTCTGGTCTCATTCAGGTGCTGGTGAAAAAATGACCCAACAGCTCAAAAGTTGAGCATTGCTTGGATTCTGACTCCGATTCTTCAGTGCTCAGTGCTGGGTGGAAGTTGTCACCCACCTTAGTAAGAGCCCTACAAAGAAAGCAACTGGATCCAAGTATCTACCTGTGTTGTCCTGTATCAACTCATGAGTGTTTGAACCAAAGAATCTGGGCTGGAGCCACTTGGCATCAGCTTGCACTTGCACGATGTCCATGTCCATTCTCTAGAAGAGCTTCCCAGGTAGAGGCTCAGCTACACAACAAAATCTTAGCTATTGTTTTCCCAGCTACCACGTATCGACTGATTTGTGATACCCAGATACGCATGCGTTCTTGCACAACCTCCATGCAAGGTAATATATAATTTGCTGGAAACCCTTCTCTTATATGAATTATTTGAAAGCTCCACCTTTCCTAGTTATGAATTAGCAGAAACATCTTTCTTTGGGAGGTAAAACATGAACAAGTGGAAACCCCTCTCCTTGGATGTCAATATGAGTTAGGAAGAACCTCCTGACATTTAAGCTATGCTTTGTTGTCTCTCAAATGGGCAGATGTGCAGTAACTTGTATAATCACTGCAGCTCACTCCCATGTTGGGGTCTGATAGGGACTGTTTACTTCCTAAAACCTCTTTTACAAGACTTTGGTTCAACAACAGGAGCACCAGTGGTGAGTCAGAGAGGGGCACAGGTTTCTAATTCATTCCTCTTTCAGCAAATCTGGGATTTCATTTCTGAGCCTTTGGCATTCTAAAGGTGTCACCACAGGGCAAGTACCATGTAAAACAGTGAGGCTGTGATGAAAAATCTTCATGTGAAGTAAGTGGGACTCCTGATGGACCCATCAGCTAATCCGGTAGCTCCCTCTTCTTCAAGCTTAAAGATTTGGATGTAATCCCCTGTGTTTGGATTTACACCCTCCTCCTTCCATTGGACCAAACGTCCAGCGAAGGAAGACGAGCAAAGCTCCATCGACATTAGCAATGCTGAGCTGTTAATTTATACCAGATGAGCATCCCAGCCCCTGACTGCAGTGTGTTTTCTGTCGGGGCTGAATTTATCCCAGCCTTGTTGTGTAGATCCTTGGGTTGTAAGCTTGATAAAAGCAATTTACAGTGGAGTGGTGGAAAGCATGTGTTTACTTCTCAGCAATCAGCCTGATCTCTGACCCATCAAGAAACAGGACAGGGTGAATCTGCTTGCATTATTGCATGTCTCGCCCAGCCTTCACGTGGATATGATACATGGGACTCAAGCTGTCATGTTTACAGTGGCTTCATCAGTCTTCCCTCTCCAGCCAATGAACTGAGCTTCCCAGTCACCTTCCCAAGATCTTTTTATATATACTAGGTCTTAATTTCTCTGGAATTCAGGAAGTGCAGCAATACAGCAGGGTGGGCAGGAATGGAATGAGTCCCATAAGGGAAATGTGTACAGCTAGCAAATTATTTTTTTCCCTATTTTGGAAATTCTTGAGGATTTGTGCTGAACAGCTTCAATGTTAAAAAAAAAAAAAGAAGTATTTTTAAATGGCCTGTTACAGTCAAAAGCACTTGGATAAGGAAGGGAGCAAGTTCAGCTATGAATAACATTTATAATATTGTATCAGATACTTGCAAAAATTCAAGGACCAAATTTTGTACTGAAGCGAGAGGTTTTGTCAATTCTTTTACCTCCAGCAGAAGTCAGGTACAACTCCCCTGGCAGCAATGCTGTGTCAGAGCAGAGGAGGTCAGTCTCCCTTACAAAAGGGCTGATATAGATGTATTTCACAGAAGATGCTTTGTTTAAAGCACAAAGAACTCGGGCCTGATATAAAGTAGTTGATTCCAGGTCTAAGTTCTTTCACTGTCTCAGCCACAGAACCCCTGTACAGTCTTGAGGAAATCAGGTCAGATTTCTTTTAACCAGCTCCCCCTTAGAAAAAAACAGAGATAATGACCCTTCTTTCTCCCCCCCCTTTTTATGCGCTCTCACTACAACATGGACATAGCCTGAGAATGGCTGGCTGAGCATCCACTAACCCAGCAAAGCCCACCTCTGCCATCACAGAGAGCCTGGTCCTGGGGGCATCTCCCTTCTCAGAGACCATAGCTATTTGTGCAGTGCCTGTAACAAGGGGGTCCCAACCTCATCCAGGATCTCAAGGGGCCTGAGTAGGGAGACAGTCTTACCGTTTCACAGGACATCCCCTCTGTGGGCTGATAGTTAGAGGTCCCTCTGTTCACCACTGCCAGGAAGAAGATGATGTACAGTTTCATGGTTCTGCAGGTAAAAGTAATTACAGTCAGATTTCAAATGTGACACCAGTGGTCGACGCATGGGAAAGCTGGTGCCAGATCATCACCTAACATGGAGAAGCACACATGCAGTGCGATAAATTAACCCATCTCTGAGTCTACACGACTTACGAGCTACCTATGTACTTTTGCATCCCTTTGAGCCTGGTGGGAAAAAGAGAGATGTTCATGAGGACTTGAAAGGAAGGTCCAAGGCATTTCATGGGATTGCCCCGGTGTGATTTCAGCTGCTGCCTAAATGATACCCAGGCCACCCAATGAAGTCCAGATGCTCAAGCTGGGCAGTGTCTCTGGCATCATGGAGAAAGACAACCACTGAAGACTGAGTTACCATCACTCTCCCCAGAGAGGCAGCTCAGGTACTTTCAACTGGACTGGAGTTTTGGGGTGCCAAGTCCTGAGCAAAGAGAACAGGTGCCACTCAGAAACAATAAGCATTGGGAACAGTTTCCATCCACAACACTTTCCACTCCTCTCATCCCAGAGTGTCAAAGGGCTTTTACACACTCATCCAGATTTGTTAAAATAAACAGCTTAAAGAATGGACTGAGAACTTTTTGTCCAAATGTTAGTTTTCCATTTTATAAATCCCAGGTATGGGCAGGCTTTTAAATACATTTGAAAGCAGATGCCTTACAAAGAGACAGATATAAAATGTAATGGATTTGTGTGAAATGAAGGATTCATCAGAGTTTAACTGTTTGGAAAGCACTCCAGAAAAAGAGCATAGAAATAACTGCAAAAGGAGCAAAAAACACTGGGAGGCCTGTCACTGGGCAATGGGAGAAAAATGCAAACAAAGCCAAGGGAAAGCATTCGTCCTTCAAACGGCTTGTTTCTAGATGGACACTAATGAAGTCTCTGGCTGCGGTCACCACTGATGTGAGTGCCAGATATCACTTCTTTATGACAGCCTCTGTTGCAAACATGCTGAATCTGCCTATATTTGTATGGCTTCTTGCAGGCAGATCTGGGCTGGTCCTGCTCGCATCCAGAGCCAGTGAGACACACGCTAGCTCCCAACTGGAAACCATGCAGCAGTGCTTAGCTAGCACTGTTCTTAAGTCTTTCCAGGAGCAAGCCTGCATCTGGCAAGCTCCAAACACCCGCCAATCCCATGCACATATGCCGCCAAAAACCGGCATCAATGTACCATTACTCAGCGGCTTCCACCCGCAGAGCATCAGGAGGCTGGAAACAAAATAGGTGGGATCACTCCCAGCTAGTGGAGATCCCTCTGCTCAGTCACTGTTTGATGGATGCAGCTGATGGCCACACTCCCATGCAGCAATGGCAACTGTTGAAGAGCAATGTCAACAGGTTCACTATGGGAACCTGCCCATCCCTCCACTTTCCAACCAGAGAAAAGAGTTGTGTACTAGGAAGAGAGAAACTGGGGGAGGCTTAGGCCACAGATACTCTGTTTTCAGATTGCACATTCCTTCCAGTTCAAGGAAACAACTAGTGATGGATGATGATCTGGGACCCCAAGGTGAAAGAGCTTGGAGTTTGTCTTTCGGGCTCAGCAGCAGGATCAGAACTATGTTTCCCCGCTCTAAAACAAGACCAAGGATGTTCATTCTCAACTCTTTTAATTATTGTTTGCAAAATAATACACTGAAATCTTCCTATGGAAGGAGGAATTGCTGATACCACCATCTATAATGTCTTTGTCATTCCCCCTCTGTTCCTCATTCCCCAGGCTTAGAGGATTGGGTGTCTCCTCTAAGGAGGAGAAAATGAGTTTTATCGTTTGGGTATTAGTTTGCTGGAACGGAGAGAGAAGATAAACATACCAATGATTACAAGGCTTTACTCAGAGCCCACAAATGGAAATTGTTTCTGTTTAAATACAATTAATTAAGCCGACAGAATCTCCATGGATATTATCCACAACAGGGCACCACCCTGATGGACCGCGTTCATCCTGTGTGCTCTGCGATGTCTTCTCTTGTCACACTGCCAGTTCAAAAAATGGTCTTGAATGATAAACCTGACACAATCTGGGGTCTTAACATGCTTTGAAACTTCCTAAATTATAAGTTTATAAAGCAACAGGGAAATTGATGTATTTGAACACAAAAACCTGATTTAATTGCTTGCTGTGTAAGACAGACCTGTAGTAAGCAAGGACGCTGTCCCTCAAAGTGTTTCTAAGGTGGCTGTCACACCCTGAAGCCCTAGGATGTGGTGGTCTCTTCCAATATGAGACCACATGGACTCTGTCCAGAGGAGGGCAAGACACTCCTCATGGTACGGCACAACCTCCTTGCTCATGGGGATTGCCTTACCAAGGTGATATTCAGTTCAGCTGAAGAGCTTTTCCCTGCCTAGCTTTACTCTGGACAACACTTAGCGTCACCTAGCGTGACACAGCACTGGTCCCCCTCCTCTCTGCCCTCTGGACATGTCTCAGATGCCCACCACCCTCTCCCAGTGCAGAGCTCAGGGCTCACAGGACGCCCATTGCCCTGGTGTCGGAGGGCATCACCACTAAACCCTGCCTTCTGGCACTGGCATTCATGTCTCTAGCCACAGCTTACAAAAACAGTCCAGGAGCAGCAGTAACAGCAACTTGACCTAAAGGAGCTTTTAGTGCTCTGAGGCTTTCCCAGAATTGAAGCAGCTTTGTGCTCGGTGCCAGTTTGCTCCCACTGGCAGCTGTGATAAAAATCCCAGCGTACCTCAGAGCAGGACTGAGCTCCGAACTGTATTCAGCGTCACAGCTTTCCATCAGGGTACTTCAAAATTACCCAGCCCCATCCACAGCTGATTTCACTGAGTAACAGCTCCAAGAAATCTTATTAAGTGGGTCAAACAATTTAGCATCTAGAAAAAAACACGGTACCCAAACCACGTCAGCATGTCCATTTAACAGATGGGAGGGCAAAGGCAGAGAAGAGCTGTGATTTGCCCCAAGACACATTCGAAACCATGGAAGAAAGAACCAGGGTTTAATCCAAGTTTGCCCAGTTCCCACTCCAGAACAATATTTTTCTGCATCTCTATTACAATATTAACCCTGAAATAGCTTCATAGATGTTGCTAGTAGCTAACAACAGCAGCACCTTCCAAATTTCCCCCAAAGGTAGTTTTTGTTACTGCTTAGACAATTAACAGATATGTCCTCCTGTGCCAAAGAGAGGTTAAATATGAGAGAATACACGAAACACAAACCAGACTCCCCAGGGTCTGATCCTTTTTCACACAAGACTTTTTGCTGCCGTGTTAGAGCCTCCAGGGTTAAAAAGAGTGAATATTCCACATTTACCTTGTTTCAAGGGTTTCTTGCATCCCCAAACACAGCTTATCATGTCTTTAAAAGGCATATCCAGCTCTTCAAAACCAGCTCAGTCCTGGTACCGATGAAATTGTTCTTCAGCTTCACGTTCACCCATTCGGGATGCCAAAAGGCTCACTTGTAACTTCATAATGAAGGCATTTTCAGAGAAATAACCTCATTTAGGACAGCGTCTGCTTTAAATTATGTTGCTTGTCTTCCTCCGGACTCCTCTCCGGGCTCTTGCTGGGTCCTAGCCACCGCTGTGCTCCAGACGGAGTCAGCTACTGTGCGACATCCTGAAGCCCTTGCTCGGGGCAGGCGTTGAGAAACAAGGGAGATTTTTGCCAGAGAAACTGTCAGGATCGGGCCACGGGTTTGCTCAGGGAAATAAGTGACTTATCGTTGCTGATGCCATTGTTTAGCTGCGTGTGTGGTGCAAGGCAGAGTGTTTACTTTAGGGTTTTGTGTCCACAAGTTACATTCCTGGAGGGCTGCAGCCTCCTACCCCTCCACCTAAATCACTCTCTGCATCGTTAGGAAAACAGTACTTGAGGATTAAAGGTTTCAAATTCATGGCTGATAAATATAAAAGCCCAGAATCTAGAAACCTGTCCTGGAAGAAATAACTCTTTCTCTTTGTAGTGGTCCTGCTGATCAGGGTGTGATAGCAGTCTGCTGGCAGGACAGGGGTCCAGTGTCAGCTACAACACACCTGACTTGAAGAGTTTTCATGGCACAAAGCAGGAATTAGGGACCTTGATAAAGGTAGAGGGGTCCGAACATCCAGATGAGCTGCTGAAATTTTGGCAGCAAGTACATAGTGCTGAATCTACCAGACCTGCTAGGAAAAATTCCCATTGCAAAAGGGGTGTTTTTGTCCTGCAGCAGATGATTTCAGATTGCTTGGGAGTTCAGCTTTTTATTTATTATTTTGTGCTGCCCCCTAGGGCTGGCGAAGCTGTCTCATTGCTGATTTCCTCACTTCCTTTTGCTAATTAAGACCTGCTACTGGAAAACCCGCCTTTACATACATTTCCTCGTTACTGTCTCCCAACCTCACAAGCCTGAACTGTTGCAACACTCTTTTCCCATGGTTGAAATAATACACCAAAGAGCTGGGCTCTTACATCTCATCTGCTTTGCGTTGCAGGCTGAAATGAGAGGCATAAATGCTATGAAGAGGTAGCAGTATGCGTGAGGGCAGGAGAGGGCATAATTATGTGCAATGGACAGAAAAATCCACATTTAGCTCTCAGGAGAACGGTCTGCCAGGAAGATTATCACAACCCTGGACAGATTCCCCTTGACTGGGCTCTCAGACTAGTTTTGATCACCTTCCCCCAAGCACATAAGTGTCTTGAGCTTCCCTTGGTCAGACCTGGCTGCAGCGCTGCTTTTCACTTGATCCTTTTGGCACTCTCCCTAGAGCCAAGGCCTCCATCTGCAATCCCCTTGGGATAAGCAGGAAACTCATGTTGAAGCTGGGGACCGCACTGGTGTCCAGAGGTTTAAATGCCTTTTGGATGCTCTGAGTTTAGACTTCGCCTCGTCAGCAGCATGCAATAGCACTTGCAACACACAGACACTTTCACAAGGAAAACCTCAAAAATTTGAGGTCTTAAAGAAAAGAAAAATACTTTTTTTTTTTTTTTTTAAATAGGATATTTTGATTTGATTTGGAGGTAGAATACAAATATCATGCCTGTAATGAAGAGTAGCAAGTGCCCTGGATGACTGCAGCTTCACATTTTCCTACACCTGGTTGTTCAGAACACTTTGGGAAGTTTGAATTTGCAGGAGTAAAAATAGCAGGATTTTTGTTGGTGGTGCTTTTTAAAAAGCCAGCTCTGTTCCTCAAGCTGTTTTACCAAGTGGCCAAGCAGCTGTGCCAGCTGAACTGTGAAGAAGAGCCTGGACAGAAACAAATGCCAAAGCAGGAGGGAAGGGCATGCACTGATTCTGCTGCTCAGGACATTGCTTCATTAAAACCACAGCCTTAGAGGCACACCAACCACACTGGGAAAGATCGGCGGTGTCCTTACCATCTTTGCCCTTTCCTAAAGGGTATCTGACAGCAAATAGTTTCAAAGACCCTTAAGCATTTGGCTGACTTCCCATTTTCAATATTTTCATGCTTTGGGCTACCCAGCAGTTTATACCTTCAAGTGGTGTTGAAACATTATCATGCTATGCACTTGGTAGCCACGTCTGCAGAGAAAGTGTCTCCTTCATCGGACAGATTGGGTCATCTCCATGGGCAAATTGGAGAATCAAGCTCTTTTGTCCACCTGCAAAAATAGCAAGGGCTGTCCCATCCCACTGACGCCAAAGGGTTTGCACCTATGACTCTGTGAAATCAGGCCCTTCCTGATTTTCCTGTGGTCTCCTCAGCAATCTCTGCCCGCTCCGTTTCTGCTAACATCAGCTAGATTTCATCCCACATCAACCGAATCCGGCGTGGGGATTAGGGCTGGTGGGCACCTCATCAGACCTCTCCTCTCCTCCAAAGCCTCCAAAGCCTCTTTCCAGACTGGCCTAGAGCAAGAAGGAAAAGCAAATCCAGCCTCTGGCTCTCACGAGCTGATCCGTAATCTGCTGGAGTTTCCCAAGGGTTTTAGATAAACAGAATATGTCTTAACGATTATGTGTCTTGAACCTCCAGACCTTTTGGAGTCTGTCCATCCATAACGCTGCTGCTTTCTAAGGCACTGCTTTTGGGTTGAGTCCTGTGTCGAGCTGCATGAATCAAAATCTCCAGAGAAGTAAAGAAAACAAGCTCCCGGCTTAGAAAGTGGGTCTGAACTGCAAGGGCAGGAGTGGGACAAGTATTGCTCCCTTTCAACTGGAATAGCTCCTTGGTGATTCATCCCACCAGGGAGCTGGAGACAACATTAGTATTAACCCTATTAAAAAATAAATAGCCCATGCCATCCTCAGCCACAGCCCTTGAGAAGGAGGCACAACTCCAGCTCATGAGACCCTAAAACAACTCCAGGAGCTGTTTCTCCTGGTTTGGTTTGCTCATGCTGTCTGCACTGTGCTTGGTCTCTCATGGGCAGATGCAGCCTCCTGCCCCTCTGGTGTCGAGTCCACACATCAAAATAAGGACTCCTACATCTCCTGTAACCCCAGCATGGCTTTTCTCCTGTCTTTTGAAGCTGCTGCCTTCCTTCTTTCTCTCTCTCTCTCTCTGTTCTCTCTCCATGTGCTTCTCTATCAGGTGTGCAGCCAACAGCATTTCCCCACCAAAAATTAACCCTTCCAATTAATTGGACACACAGGGTTTAACCTGTTCCCTTACTTTATTCGCCTTTTTTCCTACTCCTCTCTCTTCTTTCCAGAAGAGAAAATGTAAATGAATAAGAATTGCACGAAACCCACCAGCATGGAGACTTTGTGAGCGAGGGGCTGGGCGAAGGGACAGCAGCAGATGGGAAAATGAAAACACTTCCGTCAGCAAAAACTGACGTAAACTGGCATTTGCAGATTAAACTATCTGAACACAGAATCATAGAATCACAGAATGTCCTGAGTTGGAAGGGACCCACAAGGATCATCAAGTCCAACTCCTGTCTCTGCAAACATGAAATACTCTCCCTGGAGAACAAAATTCCTGGAGAAACTCAAATCCAGGAACCAAATCAGAATCTTTTCTCACCAGTGGTAATCTAAGCACAGCAAAAAGAGAGAAAAATTGGCTTTTAATTCAGCAATTTTTCTTTTACTGACAGTGGAGTCAGTGTTTGAGAAAAGGTGTACTCAATTGATAAAATGAAGTGAGAAAAATTATTTCTGATAGATTTGACTTGCACAATACTGATGTCCCTCCTTTAATCCATCCATCATGGTATTAGTAAAAGGCCAAGCACTGATACAGTCACTAAGCTGTAGCCATCTGCTTTAAAAAGAGATCACTGATTGTGAATTTTTGTTACTGAAAACTAATTTCAGCATTTTAGAATAATTAGATGATTTTCAAGTTGAGATGATTACATCTTAGTAAAAAACCAGATTTCCACTGTTGAGGAAAGCCAAACTTTGGCTTCTATTTAAGGGAAACATATTTGTACTTATATCAAAAATACAACAGAGTTTGGCTTTAGAAAATTATCTGTGACTTTTATATAAACTAAGATTTTCTAAAACTTTACTATTTCCAAATATTGTCTAAACATTAATTCCTCGTGATGACAGTCCGGATGCAGCAAAACACTACAGTAAGTCATCATTCACCCAAGGTGACATTCAAGCTGTTATGCTCTTAAGAGTAGAAAAATAACCCTGCCATCTCACACCTCGTGCTCCAGCAGGGAGAGTTCAATGTCAGCACTGATAGAAGAGCAGACGAGCTAAACAGCATTTTGCCCACTTTACCCGGGGACTGTGTGATTTGCCCAGGGCTATATTAGGATTCAGTGTCGGAGAGCTGGGCGAGCAGCATTTAACTGGCACACAGTGCTGATCTCTGCAGCACTCCTGGTTCAGAGCGCTATGATGCAGTAACACCATAAATAGACTAAAGTCCTGTGAAGAAAGAAAAACAAAAAACCATCTCCCCATCTTCCATTACCATAAACACGGAGAATAATAACAAAGCAGGCATATGACAACTGTATTGTTATAAACTAACCGGTGCCTCCTTAACGTAAAGAATCTAACTCGCTGCAGTGCAAGTCCCTGATGGATTAAATATACAGCTGTGTGGACAGAGCCATCTATACCGTGTGTTTAGTCCGTTCCTCAGCCTATTCATAAACACAATATATTTTATTTATACAGTACCTTCCTCATCTATGTTATTTTTAAAGGCTGCAGCTCTAAGTCACCGGAGTCCCCGTCTCTCCCGCAGTCGAAAGCTCAACTTTCCAGCAAGCTCCCGGTTTCGCACGCTTCTCCACGTACCTGCTCTGTGGCTGGAGGAGGAGGAGGAGGAGGTTTCGCCTCTGCTTGCAGCCTTCTGTCTCCCGGACTCTCCCAGCAGCCTTTCCAGCGCAAACCGAGGAAGAGTTTCCTTGGGGAAGTTGTACCTCTGTTGCATGCCAGCTGACTAAAACTCTGCGAGCTCCGAGAGAAGTTTGAAGTCACAGAGAAAAAAAATACTCCCCATAGACTGGTCCTTGAATTCATTCCTTCGCAGTCATGAGCTCTTATATATTCCCAGGCTCCCACGAGCACGTGAATACATACCTCCGTAATAGTTTTAAAATGTGTGTGTCCTCTGCGCTTCTCTTTATTTTCCATTTCGTTCACTCAACCTTGGCTTATTTCCTGCAGTTTCTCAGCTGGTAA